CCCTAGCAGCTGGGACCACAGGTGCCCGCCACAAAACCCAGCCATTTTTTGGTTGCAGCTGTCATTGTTGTTTGGCGGGCCGGGGCTGGATTCGAACCCGCCACCTTAGGTGTATGTGGCTGGCGCCCTAGCCACTTGAGCCACAGGCACAGAGCCCTATTGTCTGAATTTCAAGCAAAGAATTACCAAAATTATATGTGAGCAATTTTACTTTTGGAGCAGATGGCTTGTTTTGATCCAACACTCAGGCCATAGTCACATCATCTCCTTTGACTTAAAATCTTTCCTAGTAATTGTGAACATGAAATTAAATGATGCATTTGAAAGTATCTGGTGCAGTGTCTGGCACATAATAGGTGATTACAATGATTGGTTGTATTTTCAACTATCAGCTGAATTTTGCTGATCAAATCATTATTAGCATAAAAGTACATCTTATTACACATTGGTTGTGAGTAACTCTTATTATAGTTATAACCAGAAGTAAAAATTCATAATGATCCACTTATATCAGTTAAATTTTTCCTAGCAAAAAGTATTTAAAAACTCATTTAAGGACAGACAAGAAAAGTTAGTCTTATTTAGGGTTAAAAGTGGAACATAGAGCTATTCTTAGCTAGATCTGATTCCTCATATTAAAATTAGGAAATAATTTTTAAGGATTCTAGAAATCAAAAGAAAAATTAATGTATTTTCTTAAATATATCCATGAAAAATAACTTATTATTAGACAGTATTTTTCTGTTATATAATAATAACTTGAATTATTACATTTCAGGAGATAAATAGTTCTGAGCTTTGCTTCCCAAGTGGGCAGAAAATCAAATCTGCTTATCTTCCCCAAAGGCAAACTCATATACCAGCTGTTTTTCAGTCTCCTGCTCATTATAAACAGACTTTTACATCTTGTCTTATAGGTATGACTATTATATTAATATTTTTATTTTATTACGATTGCTTTTTAATGTAAATAGTGGAATTGAGAAAAAGTGTATTGTATTTTGTAAATTTTTATACTAAATTTTCCATTTGAGATTTGTTATCTTCCATATGTAATCTTTTTTTTTGAGACAGAGCCTCAAGCTGTCCCCCTGGGTAGAGCGCCATGGCATCACAGCTCACAGCAACTTCCAACTCCTGGGCTTAAGCGATTCTCTTGCCTCAGCCTCCCAAGTAGCTGGGACTACAGGCACCTGCCACAACGCCTGGCCATTTTTTAATTGTAGTTGTCATTGTTTCGAACCTGCCAGCTCTGGTGTGTGTGGCTGCCGCCTTAACTGCTTGAGATACAGGCGCTAAGCCCATATGTAGTCTTTGTAGTTAACTTTTATTCTAATTTTAGATCAAAATTAAGTATTAGAAGTGGAAAATGACAGTATTCTCTTTTAAGTTATAGTTTTTCATTTTTTTTTAACTAAAAGCATTTAAATAATTTTGTTAAATTAAGTGGAAAATTTTAAGTAGAATGTGCAATTAGGTCTGATTTAAGGTATAAGGATAAAACTTACCTTTTAAAAAATGGTTATTATTATTACGTTATGGTTGACTCTGTTAAAAGACTATGTTCAAATTGAGCTAACAAACAGCACATAGGTGATAGAAACATGAGATTATTTTGGTTTTGATTTTTCGCTATATCTATCTATTTTTTTTGGTAGAACATCTAAATATCTTGCTATTTGGATTGGCACAAAGGTTGCACAAAGCTCTTTCAAAGGTTGACATATCATTTTACACATCATCTAAAGAAGACCATCTGAAACATGTAGAAAATAAGGTACCAACCTGTCATCATAATCAACCTGCAAAACTTGTCATGGTTAAAAAGGAAGGTCCGAATAAGGTATTGTTTTTGCTTTTCTTTCTCCCCACTCCATCAAGTACTTATCTAATAGAAAGTTTAGGTACCTGTTGCATCATGACAAGTTTAAAGAGTGAGTCTTAATTAGGAGTCTTCTGTGATAATGGTTAACATGTGATAAATTGTCAATAAATTTTATTGAAAATGTGATCTGTGTTCCAGTATACAAAATAAGAGTTAAGGGCGGCACCTGTGGCTCAAAGGAGTAGGGCACTGGCCCCATATACCAGAGGTGGTGGGTTCAAACCCAGCCCCAGCCAAAAACTGCAAAAAAAAAGAAAAAAGTCAAAATAAGAGTTAAGATTAACCTTCGAGTTGCTTAGGAATTTACAGCATAGTAGTAGACAGGGAAATACATAAAATGAAAATTTTATATGCTACTATAATTGCTAATTAGGAGGGACATGCCCACATTATAGGAAGAGCACTGAAAAGGGGAATATGTTCCAACCTGAGAGCTTAGAGAATGGGGAAGTGAGTCTCGAAGAAATGAAGGTTGAAACTAGTCTACTATGTAAAACCCAGCCCAAGAAACAGATAAGGCCAGAGGAATAGAAAAGCAGAGTGACTTAATTTATATTGCTGATAATTTATTATTGTGGAAGTCAGGGGAGTAAAATGTATGTCGATAATGGCTTGTACTCATTGTAAAACTGTGCTTTCACTTACAATAATGCAATTTTCCTCCACTGTTTACATATCCCACTTCATTAGTTAAGTGTATAAATTTGGATTTGAACTTCATTGTCAAAAGCAAGAATTCGTAAGTAATAGTATAACGATAAACTGAAATATTATACAACTACCCCAAATCTTTGTTTTCTTTTTAAGATGATTTAATGATAAAGTTGCCTGCTCATACTATGTAATTGCTAGGTATAAAGGTTAGGTTACAGAACAGAAATGTATTGTTATCTGAGTTTTGTTTTTTAAAAAACCACATATGTGTGTCCTTGTGGGTGTGTATATGTACTTATGTGAGTGAGGAAAAGAAATGTGGTGAGGAAAAGAAATGTGTAAGATGCTAGTTGTTTCTAGGCAGCTTTCAAGTTGTGTACATGAACATTTTTAATCAAAAAAACAATTTTAAATTTATTGTTAAATTTCCAAATAAACCTTTATTTTCAGAATAATGTAATACTTTGCTAAAGAGAAAGTAAATGGAAAAATAGGTAGTTTTAAATTTTATTACTTTAATTAATAATAAAATTAAGCTATAGAGTGACTAATTTACTAAAGTACATTAATGCCAAACAGTATTTATAAAAGTCTTAACAAATGTGATACAGAAGCAATTGAAAAATAAAAAATATTTTGAAACTAAGTTTTAGTATCTTTTTTGCCCCTTTAGGGTCGTCTGTTTTATACATGTGATAGACCCAAAGCTGACCAATGTAAATTTTTTAAATGGCTTGAGGACGTGACACCAGGATATTTAACACAGGAAGAATCTGTACCTAGCATGGTTTTAAGTGATATTAAGAGTATTGGCTTATACTTAAGAAGTCAAAAGATACCCGTCTATGAGGAATGCCAGCTTTTGGTGAGGTATGTTTTATGATACCAAATAATTGCCTATAATTATACATGTATCAGAGATTGGCAACCTTCAGAATCATTATGAGTTTTAAAAGAAATTGAGATAAGAAAATTATCTAAAAGATGGAATACCTCTGTTTCTATAATAACAAAATGGGAATAAACTTTTAAAGTTATTTTGGAGGCTGGCATTGGTGGATTATTCCTGTAATCCTAGCCCTCTGGGAGGCCATGGCAGGTGGATTGTCTGAGCTCACAGGTTTGAGACTACTTATTAGAGTAAGACCCATCTCTAAAAACATATATATATAGCTGGGTGTTGTGGTGGGCACCTGTAGTACCAGCTACTTGGGAGGCTGAGGCAAAGGAATCACTTGAACCCAAGAGTTTGAAGTTGTGTGACAAAGTGAGACTTTGTCTCAAAAAAAAAAAACAAAACTTACTTTGGCTCCCTCTAAACATCAAGCAGTATGAGCACTATCAGAATAAGTGGCAGAATGTTGTTTTTCTAGCCATTTTTATGTTTACTCTCTTATGCACAATCCTGAGGGAAAGCCTATTGAACAAGGTACAGGAATAGTTTTAAGCAGTGCAGGATAATAGGTGCAGGATAATTCGCGAGCCTGAGCTATAAGCTTATAGGAGAATGGAATGCTTTTTAGAAATGTCCTTTATAAAAGTTCAATTACTCAGAAAAGTAAGTATAATGACTATGTTTAACAGTAATAATAACAACATTTATTGTTTGTTTATATATGCCAGGCATTCTTCTAAGCACTTGACATGTGTTATTTCATTTAACCATCACAATAACCTATAAAATATGACGATAATGAGGATAAGTTTTATTTTACAGTTGTGGAAAATGCGGTTCCCCCAAAAAGCTGAAATTAGAACCACCGTATGACTCAGCAGTCCATCCCACTGCTGGGGATATATCCAAATGAAAAGATAGATTGCAGATATTTCTTTAATATATCAGAGAGATACCTGTACTGTCATGTTTATTGCAGCACTATTCACATAGCCAAGATATGGAATCAACCTAAGTGTCCATCAACAGATGAGTGGGTAAAGAAAGTGGGATAGAGGCGCACACACACATACAATGGACTATTACTCAGTTGTAAAAAAGAATGAAATCTTGTCATTTGAAACAACAGAGTTGGAACTGTAAGTCACTACGTTAAGTGAAATAAGCCAGGCACAGAAAGACAAGTATCATGTTCTCATTTAAACATGGGAGAAAAAAGTGGATTTCATAGAGGTAGCGAGTGGAATGGTGGTTATCAGAGGCTGAGAAAGGAAGGGGAGAGGAAAGGATGAAGAGCAGTTGGTTAAGAGGTAAGGAGTTAAAAAAATACAGTTAGAAGGTACGAATCCTATTTTATAATAGAGTAGGGAAATTACAGTTAATAATAATTTATTGTTGGCTCTGCCCCCGTAGCTCAGTGGTTAGGGTGCCCACCACATACACTGGGGCTGGCAGGTTTGAACTTGGCCCAGGCCTGCTAAAC